GTCAATCAAAGACAGAGCATGTCATGGACAGATCTTGAAACATGTTCAAACCCATGAACTAAACAGATCTTGAAACATGCTCAACTTTTTCAATCAAGTGTAGTATCTGTTCTTATGAGTGTGACCGGGCGAGCTTTTCGGCGTGTCGCTCCGTCAAGCAGTGCGGTGCCCGACCCTCGAACATTTCCAGTGCACGGTTCACAGGCTGGCGTTCGAGATGAGACAGGTCATCAAGCTCCAGCGAGCGGCGATGGCCCAGCAGATCGAGGCTTTGGATCGCCTTGCTCTGGCTTGGGAGAAGGTGCTCATGCAAACCGCGGACGCGTCGGGTGACGAAGCGCCATTCGATGATGAGCGTCTGTGGGACCGGGTCTTCACGACAACACCGGGTCCGGAGGCCGCCCATCGATCTCGGAGCAGATCACCGCGGCGCGAAGGTTGATGGCCTGCACAGCTGCGCTGCCAGGTCAGTGACTATATGAGGAACTCTTCGCACTTTGGCCTTGAGTTGGAGGATGCGCAGTTCACTGCAAGTGGAGGCTTGTCAAGCCTTGAGTTCCGATTGAGTCATCCATAGCAGAACTTTTCCGAACTTCTTCACGCACATCGAGATTCACAAAGTGCTGCGCCTGCCACGAAATCTGCACATCGAGATTCACAAAGTGCTGCGCCTGCCACGCAATCTGCGCATCGAGATTCACAAAGTGCTGCGCCTGCAAACGAAATCTGCGCATCGAGATTCACAAAGTGCTGCGCCTGCCACGAAATCTGCACATCGGAGATCCAAAATGAGCAAATTGCACGAGGCTTTCGCAAATTTTGAAATGCGTTTCAGAAATGCTGTGCCTGCCACAAAATCATGCCTGCAGGTCATACGAAACGCTGCACTGGCCACGCAAAAGCATCCTCAAGTTCAAATTCCAAAAATGCGACCCCTCTTACGAATTCAGCCGTTTCACCACAAAATATCGCATCCATGGTGCGGATTCCCTGCGCCTGCCACGTGAAACGCAGTCCTGCGAATGACACACGCCTGCCAACGTTTTTGCAACGTCCACAAAACACTGCGCCTGCCACGAAATTTGCAAAGTCTCCGATTCCTTGCACCTGCCACGTAAAATGACCTTTTCGAGGCTCCAATGTGTCGAATTCCTTGCGCCTGCCACGCAAAATGCACTTCATGTCCGAAAACGAGCACGGCACCTGCACGAGAGCTTTGTCCCGGAAGCGCGAAAACCGCGACACCCACTTTATGCGAGCCTGCGCAGTCGAAATGGACATGAGGAATTCAAAAAGTAACTTTTGTGCAAGCCGGCCCACGCAAAATGCCGCAACCACACGCGCGAACCCTGATCTAAACCCGGCCCTTAACTCTTACCGTAAGAACCCCTTAGTGCGGAGCACTACTTGGGGAAGAATTAAGTAAATCAATACAAAAATTAATACAAAAGATTGTATTAAAGGATCTTATTCTTGAATATTTGATTTGTAAAACTTATGTATTAATAGATGAACCTGTTGTTGATGAACCTTACGGGCCCTGACTAAGTAGCAATAGACTTGAAGAGAAGCCGTTCTATCATCCAACAATCAGAAACACAAGAAAAAATGGGGGACACCATCGTACGAAGTGGGCCAAGTACTGTAGTTCTTTCATGTGTTTCCATGTTCTTTCATTTGTTGCGTGACATGCATTTTTTCGACCAGGACCTGCCTTCTCTAGGGCGTTCGATCGTTTTCATCCGAGTCCCCAGGTGGGACTACCAGCCAGAGAAGATCGAGGACTTCGGCTCGGGCCGCGTCTGGTGGGGTGGCCAATGTGGTGGCCTTTCTGGTGGCCGCGTTGGAAGGCTCATGCCAGGCTCGTGCCTAGAATATATCGCAGCAGGGAAAAAACACCTCCAAAGACCAATTACACAACTATATTTTACACTGCGCGGAAAAGGGCAAGTGCAATGTTAACAATCAGTAGAGGTACGATGAGGTACAAGAAACTGTGATTGGAACGAATGGGAAGAGCACCTGGTTGACAATCGATGGCAGAGATGCAAATTGAGAAACCGGAGCTGGGTTTTCATCAGACTGGCCGTGGAACTAAACTTCTGGAGAAGCAAGATGAAGCAAGAGTGTTGTCATTTACGTCCTGAGAATGTTGGCTGCAGAACCACAGCAGTAAGGGGTAACATGAGGTAACTAAGGTAACAGCAAATCAGAATTCTAGAACGGAGGTTGCTTGGAGCAAACTCCTACTGTAAGGGCGTTAGAACTATCCTCGTTTTCATGTTAACGATACAATTACTTTGGAAACGGCCCACCTATGACCTTCTCCATCCGCAGGAGTATTTCCGCGAAAAGCCTTGGCAGCTCGCCGAACATGGAGCAGCCATTGTTCAGGCAGATCCATGTCGTCGTGGGCTGATTTAGGAAGTTGTTTGCAAGACCTAAAGTCCTAGTAATTGCATGTCATCGGGGTAGATCATTATATATATATATATCTATCAGTTAAAAATTTGTTTGGAACCATCAGAGTTTGGTGGGAGTGAGAAAGATATCATTTTTCCACCAAGAGCAAAAGACACTAGGCTAAGACATTGACCTCACAACTAGCTAGTGAGTCTTGCAAGACCATGCAAGACCTAAGAAGACTCACCTTTCTTCTTGTGGCAAAGTTCCTAACTTCCTTATGGCGTACCAGGTTTGTGTTAGAAAAATGGAGAGGTGCATTTCGGAGATGTCCGATGTCCCTACGAATCACTTTGTTTTTTGGGGCTCTCCCTCAAAACACGAACCGATAACTCAACTACTTGCCGACTTCCAGCGACCACACCAACAGCATGGCCTGGGCAAAAAGGGCGACTTGAAATGAGGGAAGGCTTTCCAGCTGAAACGTAGATCATAGGATGTGCCAAGAAGCATCGTTGTTCTCTAGAAACTAGAATCAGGTGGGGGGATTGTACCATAATTCTATTTGATCAAAGTCGAGATATTAAAGTTAGGATGATCGTTTGATATACAATTCGACTATGGAGATTGTTTGATTTCGATGCTGCGGATCACCAACGGCCGCTGCATGGACGTCCGAATCAGGCCCTGCTTGGCTTGGCTGCATCAACGGTGGGGCGGGCAGATCGGATGGACCGGATGAGTTGATTTTAGAAAGATGCGATGTTAAAAGCTTCTTGTTACTACAGGTGAAACTAAGGAAGCTTGTTACTAGTAGCTTGAAAGATCTCCTGGTAGCGTCCAAAGACCTACTAGTAGCGTCCTTGCTCCTAGTAGCTTCAAAGTAACGTATAGCTCTGGTGCCAGGGAAACCGACACCCAGGCGTTAACGACCCAGTCTCCCCAGCCAGGGCCCATGTATGGCGAGAAAGGGGTCTCCTGGATTCAAGATATGCACCCATGTGATCCCATGTGTTGAAAGAAGACAAGAGTTGAAGTTTGGAAGCATTGAATTACATGATGTCAGTTGGCAACGCGGCTGATGTTTAATTGTGTTGTTCGATCTTTGGCTTTTTGAGTGCTTGATATGCTTGTAGCATGGTTTTTTTTTCCTCATCTTGGGGATGACCAGCCGACCAGCCATCCAGGGTCAGCCATGGGGTGCTGCGGTATCCTTGTGAATGGGGACGTGGTGTCCATCTACAGTTAATAGCGACAATTTCCAATTAAGACATGAATTTAGGATTTCGTAGGAGATACAAGACCATCCAGAAATTGTATCTCCATTTGCCTACACAGGATTTGACGACAATCGTCGCATTTCTTTGTCTGGAGGGAGTACTCAAACAAATATCAAAGCAGGCAGCTACCGGCCTCCACAACCTCCGATCAAGTTAACATTGGAACCTGAACGTGGTCGTTTGTGTGTGCAGTGCAGGTTATAGTTTTAGGACAAGTTAAGTAGAACTCACTTGGGCTTGTTCCAGAAGTTTGGGGTGCAGACCGCCTGGGTGAAGGTGAATTGTTCGGAGGAGGAAGATCCATGTTTGTATGGGACAATTTCTGGAGCTTTCAACAATCCCATTGAGGCGATCCTGCTCATCCAGGGCCAGGCAGCAGTTCCACTGGATGGTGTGTAGGTGGAACTGGATGGTTCATGATGGTTCTACTGATGGAAATGGAGGAGGCACTCCGGTGGTTCGTAAGAGAAGACCCACCAGACCACAGGTGTGTACATGTGGATTTATGAGTGGTGATCTATGGTCCCGGTTCCGGTTCACTCACATGTGTCATTTTTATGGATGTGTTTGAGCCACGCCCTTGTGCACGGAATGCTCATTCCGGAGTGTGACTGACGAGCGCATATACCTTTTTCTTGCAGTTCTTATCACGTCACATGTTGCAGCTGCCAGAGCGGCCAGAGATGTCAAAAGATATCACATCAACTCACGTCATATCACGTTCTACACCTGGTTGATAACTCGTGATTGCAGGTGTCTAGCCAAGTTTGGAAAAATTCTACACTCCCTGAAATAATCATGGAAGTGAAAAACAGCCTGTTTGGTCTTCGAAAAATGTTCATCCGTATACGGGGTAGATCCTTATGCATGTTCCACTTCCGGGATGGAGGCGCATGTTTTTTAGGCCTTCCCTCACGCGTCTCCACGTGAGGAGTTTGCCTGTCGTGGGCGGCTCGCGATGGAATCGATGTTTCTCGTGAAGTCACCTCAAGTGAAGTGGATCCATGCAGTGCCCCTTTTCCGCTGTGGACAACGGGAACGAGGCAAGTTTGCAAGGAAACCTCTATTCTCTTTGGCTTCGGGATACTGAAAGCCCAGTTTGCGCTTTGGCGCCTAACATCAACAAACTTGTCAGTTTTTTTGCTGCACACCTTGAGACTAAACATGTGCAAACCGGTTGGTAGTACTTTACTGCAGCCACATGGATGAAGGACCATGAGGCTTGACTGCTTGAATTTTATTTGGTTCATGCAGTTTGCTGACATTGGGTCAACCCGTGTTCCACCTCTCTTCAACAGTAACAGCTAGCCCTTAACAGCGACTCGTTGTCCTCTCTGCACGAATCGTTTTCCGAAGCCATGTTGAAGCAGCCGGTGGGCCAGAAACGACTCACGAATGTTGCTGTGGTGCGCCACTTGGGTGGAAAGGGGGATCTCATCAGGCCTGGCTCTCGAGGCATCTACGCGTGTGTTATCGATACCTCGAAACCGTACGGAAAACAGAGGGTATACGGTACATGATCTGGATCCACTTTCACATCAAGGAGAATGCATGGTCGTCCTGGTCGTCCTCCACAAGAATAAGAAAAGGACAGACAGGAGCCCCAAGTGTTTTGTCGCAACTGGATCGGATTTCTGGTGCTTGTAGTCCCAAACAAAACCCCCTTGCAGATCCGAATGTTATCCGTATGTTATCGGAACGTTTTTATCCAGACTGCATGTCGGAAGCTGCTGAACAATAGATGGACAAACCCATGGACAAGCCGTGCCTCATCACGCCTCAAATGAGGAATGAAGAAATCTGGAATGCGATTCGAAATCGCCTGCTGCTTGATCTGCAAAGGAGGTCGGAAGGAGGTCGGGAGATGTTTTATATGCTGCGCTAAGGGTCAAGTTAAGTTGTTCTTGAAACCCTATGTTGCTCGTCACCATGCAAACAGGACGCAAGTGGCAAACTGCAGCATGCTGAAACTCTTGCATAGAGTTTGTGTTTGTTTTGCATATTGCAAAGGACGCAGCAATTGTACAAAGAAAACCCTTCAGAAGGCATTCCACAGGGATAGAGAACTGAATCCAACAATCTCATGGTGTTTTCATAGGTCTCGACTCTCGACCCCTGGCCCGTTGTGGTAGACTGGATGGCAGACTGGTCGAACTTGTTCTTCTTCCAGGGTGGGCGGAACGCCTGGGAGGTCTCAGTCAATTCAATCAACCGGGGGCCACTCGAAGCTGGTGACGCGAAACGAGTTCGAGCGAGTAACCACACTGTACTCGTACCGTTGACAGAAGAAGTGCTGCAGCGCTTGGATTTCGCTGGTCTTGTGTAAAGGAGTTTTCACAATGTAGCATATTGGCTTAAGGAGTCTCTTGCACTCGCCACCTGCGTACTGCCACCAAATCTTCAAGCTCAAGAGGCCCAGCCTCGTCTTGCCTCTGTGAAGCCAAGCAATCTTCACGCTTTCAATAATATCAGGAAAAAGGAATTTAAAGTTATTCCATTTGCGTTTGCTTTGAGCATCCGTTGGTCAGCTCTTTTAGCCACAAAATACTCGGTTTCCATCCCACTTTTTCATCTTCGCATTACCTCTTTGACTTCATCTGGAGCCTTGAAGTTGGTATCTTTCTTTTCAGATATTTCTGATTTCTCAGAGTTTTCAGAACAGAACATCATCGCCAAAACGTTGTCATCGAAGAGTCGTGAGTCGTGAGTTTAAACCGGAGTTAAAAAAGGTGAGCTGAAAGCTAATAGGCTAATAGGGCTTCTTACCTCTCGATGACTGGGGTGATTTGCGTTTTGGTCCGCATCGGGAGGGGTTCGCGAACCTTGACACTCTCAGTGCTCATCTCATTGCTCCAAGGCTCAGGAAGGACAGGTGCTGCTGCTTGAGGACAGGCGTATGTAAAGCACATGCTGCCGTCCCGCCCTTCAGAGGGGGGCGTATAGTTCAGAGCAATAGACGGTCGGATACGCATCAATAGACGTCATGGTGCATGGTCATCGATGATATGGTCCTTTGTCATCAGTGTCACAACTCCACCAGATCAACACAGTTCACGGCACTTTTATCATGTTACACAACATGATCATCTGTGTCACGGCATGTTCATCGCCAATACATGGTCATCGATCGCTGCAGCGGCAACCGTGCGGCAACCGCTGCGGCAAGCAATCTGGTCACTGCGTGGCATGGCACCGTGGTGCCAGGAAGAGCAACTGTGCGCAGAAAAGGAAACGCCAACAAGCAGGTGCGAAGTGAGAAGGTGAAACATGTTTGCTCCATATTATCATTGAATGTCATGGGACCGTTCACACGACAACTGTAGCGAAAGTACTACACATGCTTTAAGAAAGCAGGCCGCCCCCCTCAGGGCATGTCTTTGCTGCATGGTCGACCTTGCTTTCTTCTGAGCCTTGATCAATGGATCCTCGACCATTTTGGTGGGCCCCTTGTGGTCGAACCTTTTCATCTCGACAGGTGAGGCTCCCGCATTTGTTCGGACGAGAAGTGGGGACGCGCTGAAGTACGAAAAACATACTGGCCATTCTGCAGTGCAAAAGGCAAAGCAAGAGCCTCCTTTAAGTCGTTCAGAGAGGACCAGTGAAGGTAGGCAGAGGGAGTGGAGGGAAGCGGCAAAGCGTGTCGGAGAATCAAGACTTCTCAGTGGCCTTCTCTGGCATCCACCTGTTCCACAGAGGCCTGGGACCTCGGCCCGCGTACTTGCCACGCCCGCTCCATTGGTCGAGAACCAAATACGCGACCGCGCAAGCATGCATTCGATGCATTCTATGTCAGCCATGTTGGTTGAGCCGTGACCATTTTCCACATGCTTTTCCGTGCTGGGGTCTTCCTTTTCCATGCTCTTGAGGGCCCAAATGCCCATGGCTTTCCGGTTACACTGAGACCCAAAATGGTGGCGGCTGGGTCCTCTTGTTGCCGGGGACGCGACAGGCTTTTTCTGGAAGACACCACAGCAGCACTCAATGCCGACCTTCAGGTTCTGATCAAATGGCCTGGGCTGAGTTTCGGCACAACCTTGGAACGAGCCTCCGTGACGACGCGATTCATTTGATGAGCCCTCCGTTGTAGACAAGTCAATCGCAACAGCTGGTCGCTTGGCCGAAAAGCAAAGCAGTGCCGCCTGCAAACCCATCGAAGCAGAAAAGTAGGCCAAACATCCGCGCGTCCAGGAGGACGCTACGTTCGGGGCTCCTGGCATCGCTACGGACGGAACAAAAGACGTTACGAACAGCCTGACCGGATGGCCTGACCGGTCCCTGCCTACCCACACCTGCATGATGCCACACATGACCCGCTTCGAGGGGAACACAGTGCTTGAAAGGGTGCTAAGCCACAACAAATCATTTGGGTCCGACCGGTGGATTTGTTTTTGAACTGAATCTGAGGTTACAAGAACAAGGTTCTGAACTGGCGCGAGGGCATCGAGAAGGTGGCGAGCTGGGAGAACCGGGGAGAACCGAGTCAGTCGTGAGGCAGATCAGTGAAGAAGTCCAGGAATTGGGCGTAGTATGCGGGTCGAAACTTGCTGTGGCTGTGCTCAATGAGATGGGGTGAATAAAACAAACATATAAGTTTCGACAGGCGGATTAGTAGGAGTTGTGGATAGAGACCTGTGGGCAAACGACTTCAGTGTAGCACAGATGTGCGAGGTAACATGTGTGCAGATCGCAACCTGGTAGATTGACCTGGACTGGTAGACCCAGTGTTCATATTGGGGAGCCAAGGTCCAAAGTGCGACCCAGAACGGCACACTCGGACAACCCCTTGTGGCAAAACATGATGGACAGAATATGATGTATCATCCGTTTTTGATATTTACACTCACTTGTTTGAACACATGATAGCCAAGTATTTTGATGTGCAAACCATGATGGACCCGTCCCACCGGAAGAAGAAGCCAGCATGTGCCAGCACTTGCGCCCACCGGGAGCCCTGTGCAGTCAGGAGTTGAATGAAGTTCTTCAAACCGAAACGGTCTTCACCAATGTCTCCAAGGCGCAGAGTGCAGAGCAAAAACAGGAAAGAACATGAAAGAACAATGAAATAACATTGAAAATTGTTTGAAGTCTGGATGAACCCTATATGATCTAATTATTATGATATGCACAGGTATATGGAATGATATGGGACAAGACGGGTTAAAACATGTTACAGTAGTAGGATGAACGTCCTAGATGAACTATACATATAGTCATTTAGTGTATTTTTGGGTTGTACCAGGGGGTTCACGAGGGGGTCAAGCCACAGTCAGAGCAAGTACTGTATGCCTTATGGTGAAGAGATGTGAACAAAATGTTCCTTCTCACACAGGTTCGCAACGCAGGATTCATGTTGGTTTGCAACGCAGGTGAGGCAACACTTAGGAGCCGGTATCATGATAAACCGAGGGTTACTGTATTTGATTGGCGCTCATCATATGATCCTTTTTGCCCGTTTCATCTTGGCAAAGACACAACGACTTGTGAATTCCAATCGCCAAGACGCATCCCCAAGCCATCAACAATGATGGATTTGGAGGATATTTCCAATGCATTCCCGCCAAACAACAGATCGACAGATGTTCCCACCACACAACTTGTTGATACCCTCGCAAAAACTCACATGGACCCTGGCAAAGGCCTGGAAGATGGTCTTCCTCCAGCACCCGTGCGTTTTTGGGGTCGGGTCCATGTGGTCCGTTCGACGGACCGGCTCCGGCTCCGGTCCGGTCGTCGACCGACCTTTGGGCGCCTGTCAGGCCGTGATCGCCAAGAGCGAGGATTTGCAAAAGGCCTTTGGAACGGTGGATTTGGCCGAGCATCTTGGAGGAACGCGATGGGTGTTGGAGTCCCACAGGTCGTCCCTCAGGTCCGACTCGAAGTCTACCTAATTGGGGTTGGAGTCTGGAGTGTCAGAGATCAACACCTACCGCAGAAGAGAGCTGTTCAAGGAGAATATTCGTTAGAGGTTTATTCAAAGGAGACTTGCTGTGTTGACTCTTGGTGAAAAACTCACCCCATTTGGATAGCCTCTTCATATAGGGGATTGAACTATATATTTATTATACTATTTTTTCCGGTCGACCCCCCCCAAGAAAGAAACTCCAACAAATGCAGGAGAGTTGGAGCCTCCGTCTAGTAGAGCAGAGTGAAAAAAAACATATATAAAGCATGTATACAAACATTTCTTCAGATGTGGGATCGCCCATTGCTGAGACATGAGAGCCAGAGACATGAGAATGCCTTGCTCTTCCCGAGCGAAATCGCGGGTTCGATCCTCAATGCCCAGGATTTGCAAGATGATTCTGAAGGATGGCCCCCTGGACGCAAATCCTGACGCGCGAAACACCGTCCAGACTGGCTGGACACCCGGTGACGACGGGCCTGGCTGGAAAGAGTTCGAAGAGATCCCCGTGGAGCTTTTCCCCCGTAATTATTCACGAAAGAACCTGAGCAAACTCTGCTGGAAGAATGCAAAAATGTCCACAAGACTGAGACACCTTGAGAAGTGCAAAAACATATGTGAAAGGATTCCCGCACAATCCCCCAGCAAGCAGTCACCCTGGGCTCATCAAATACAACTTCCACCTGCCACCCGATTTCTACTCAGTTCTACTCTCGACCCCTCAAGGATGGTGTATCAGACATGATATGTAGTGCCATGGTAATGATTCGGTCTTGATGGCTGAATGCTTAAGCTTCCTCTAGACGGCCTATAACGCTGGTACGCGGGTACGCCGTGATTTGCGGGCGACGGTTTCACCAACCAGTGGAACCCACCGACTCGGTTTCAACAACCTACCCGATCTGTGGGATGTCCGGTTCACCGACTCGGTTTGTATTTTTGTTTTTTTCAGATTTTGGGGCGGAAAACAAACGGACATGTTGTCACATGGGGCAAAGAGAGACCCTTCAAACTGGAAGAAAGTACAAGGATAGTACGCTTGGTTTTGCGAATTCCGGGAGAGCATACCCTTTCTTCCAGTCTTCAAGCCATACGATGCCAAGTCAAAGGTACTTCTTCACTGAGTAATGGGATTGATGGGCAGAGGTCAGCAATGGCAGTGCATAACTTGATTGGTGTTGAGTCGCAGAGAATGAGGACACCTGACCCAACGAACAGACAAGATGTACCGATTGCTGCTTTCAATTTGATCTTCTTTGAGCGCAGAAACTGTCGCAAGAGTTCAGCCATTCAGAGTTCAGAGCCCAAAGGCGCCTTGATTCAGTTTTGAAAGCAACCGCGTTGATCCCAAAACCCAGGTGCAGTGCAGGTCTCTGATAAAGAGCGGGAAGTCCACATGGACAGTCTCTCCAAAGAAGCCTGGTGGCAGATGATGGAACTGCGTTTGTATTGTTTGTTTGTTTGTTTGTTTGTTTGTTTGTTTGAGAAATGAATTCTCTGAGCATGCTCGCAACTGGTGGTTATAGATTTTCTTTGAGACCTCCAAATCACAAAAAGATGATGTGTTTTGTTTTGGTTGAATAATGTGTGCGTTTCTTTCCACAGGAAAGGATACACGACCTCCTAACGTTGGTGTTGATGTATCATGATGTATCAGATATTTTAAAGAATTGGGTCCCAATATAACGGACCGCAACCATAGACATTGTGGACGTAGATCCCGATACTCCAGCAGCATGTTTCAACTGCTCTTTGTTTCGTCAAATATAAATAATGAGTTGGAAGATGCCACATGTCCATGGATTTATCATGCTTTCTATGCCTACTCCCCAGAGGACCACATGGAACCCCAAAACCCACTGGGTTGTAGAGGGAACTGGTCGAAACCACCGGTGAATTCTCGGGGTTCCATGGGATCGTGACAGCGGGAGAGTAGATAGCCAGAACGGCTTCGACGACCGGTTGCGTCGCCACGAAGCGATTCCCATGGATTCGTTCGGGAAAAGACAGGTGCTGGACCCGCAAGTCCAATCCCCTCAACCAGTTGCTTTGAACAAGGTGGCAGTGGAATTGTTGTGAGACTTCTACTTGGAATACACAACTTCAAGTGGTACATGGTTGTACCCTCCTAAAACAACTGCCAAACCACCCCAGGATAACAATCGTCCAAGCAAGTTTTGGCACTTTCAATGAGTAACTACGCCTAAAAACCTTGGGAATTCGTCGAATTCGTTGTTTCGTTGAGGTGAGGCCACGTTGGCGCTAAGGACATTGTACAGAATATCGCCGATCGTTTGGTGCACACTGACACAGGGCGTGCGCTGACGCAGAACGCTGCTCGGGCGTGTTGCAGTGCTCGGTGTGCTGGTGGAGCAGTCGTGTTGAAGGAAACCACTGCGTAGTCGTGTGCAGCAGCATCCTCAAGGAATCTCAAGATCATTGTGTTGGGGATCCATAATAATTATGTGCAATATAATTACTCCATCCAGAAAATAGATGGTTTAAGAACAAATTGCGCCATCTACGAGCACCAGAGTACCACAGTAGAATTGCGCCATCAATAGGCAACCTGACAGTATAAAAAGGGCGAGATTTAGGCTTCAAAACCTCGTACTTGGAGACCCCTGACGGCACGCTCCATCTATATACTCCAGTTAGAAAGCAGAACTGGCTGAATCTCTTTTTGCGCAGGGAGAGAGAGAGAGAGAGAAACTAGGAAGGAAGAGATTCCAGCTACTGTAGAAAGCAGAAGCAGAACTACTGTAGCTGAATCTTTTTGTGCAGAGAGAGAAAGAGAAAGAGAAAGGAAAAGCAGGAGAAAGAGTAAAAAACAGCGTAGGATGGGCGCCGATGGGTTTGAGTGGGGTTTGGACTGCTTTGAATGGGTTTGCACTGATGTGCATTGTGCCATCTATAGCGTGTGTTTTTTCACCTGTTTTTGCAAGCTCATTTTTTCTTGCGTCTGCATGTTTGCACCCCTCTCCCTATAAATGCGCCATCTACAGGTGCAAAATAGCGGGGGAAAATACATTGATGGCGCATCCGAAAACCCTCCCGGGAACCCTATGTTGCGCCAGAAACTTTCAGGGCGGTGTAATAGTAATCTATATATGATTGTGCGATATTGTTTGAACATATAACTAGTATATATATATATACTCCAACTATAGATAAACCACCATTTGCTGCGTAACTGCCATCCCTTAAAACCAACTCTAGTCGGGCCCACCGAAAGAACTGACAGACTGGTCCTCACTGTGGATCTACTGATCAGGGATCCGAGTCAATGTCTGCGGAGTTTTTGTGGGGTTGGTTTTGGGGTTTTGGGCGAGTAAGAAAGGATCAGGATGTCAGTTGTTGTTGCTGTTGCTGTTGCTGTTGTTGTTGTTGTTGTTGTTGTTGCGGTTTGAATTGTTGTTTTGACTTTCAATGGGTTTTATCCAACATATAGAAGGTGTTGTGTAGATCCTAGGTCATGCAGGGTCTCTTCCATGAACACAGCCGAGCACTCACCACCACCACCGAAAACCAGTCCGCCATGGGTGACGGACTCCAGCAAGGCGGTGGAGAGCGCCTTGAAGAGTATTGGCTTCAGCGTGTCACTGGCCTGAGCTGAACATCAGGGGGCAACAACTGTGGATCGGCCACGCCATCATTTTGAACCGATAATGCTGCATGAACAGTGAATCAAATCCGTAAACAGAGAGATCCGTTGCTTAGGCCTTGGCTTTAAAAGTAGTTGAGACTTTCGTGTCCTCTCCCACTACTGTAGCTCTTGGCACCTTGCATCTCAACCTTTTCAATTGAACAAGTGAAGAAGTTCCCTCGTCCTGAGTTTACTTGTGGACAGTGGCTCTGTTAGGCGTCTTGAGCCTGTTTGGCTGTTGGGGTTGGTTGAATCCAGTGTTTTTGTGGGTTTCCTTCATCAGCATGGTTGTGTGGGCCGTTTGCTTCAACAGACTAGCATCCGCTACATTTTGAAGGGGCTTGAAGAAGCAGCTTAATTACAGGTGAGACTAGATGTCCATTGCTAGCCGATCTTGGCAGTTTACAATCCTTTCGATAGCTGACATAGCTGGATTGTGTGCGAGGTTTGGACCCTTTGTTTGGCTCATTACTCCTCCAGAACAACAATTGACTGTAAGGACGACAAAGACTCACCGTAACACCACCACACTTTGAAGGAAAGATGCAGTGTACAGGAACACTCCATATAAAGGCTCAGAGTTATCAAATCAGATATGGCACTCCCATGGGATTGCATACCGCACCACAGGCACCACAGGCATTGGGGTTCAGTTTGTCTTGGCTTTGGGGTTTAGCAAAACCCGGACGTTGTCACTGTAACAAAGGGCAGGGCTACTAGGAGCAATAAGCTACAAGTAGCTCCTGGCCTTACTACTAGGAACAAGAAGCTACTAGTAGCAAGGGACACAAATCCAAAATGCTTGGACGATGTCCATACCGACCAGGCAGCCAGACCAGCCGGCGAAGAAGCAGGCGTTGAAGGCAGCTGACGACTCAAGATGGGCCGTCTTGTGCGTTTCATTGGCAAAACACAGGTTTCACAGAGAGGAATGTTCCTTCAGGCGGATTGTTGAATGTTTGGGGAAGGTACCCCGCATATGAAGATGTATATGGCAGTACCACCCTAGGGTATCATTCGAAGGAACATCTCCAGCTTCCGCATCATTGAATCAGCAGACCCTTGGGTATTTCTATTTCTGCTTTGCACACAGATCCCGACTTTCAGTTTCAGCAATTTCTCGCAAGAATCAGTGTGACTGAACAAAATGACACAGTCTTGCTTTTGCGCCGACCCACATACTAATACTGGTAGGATTTTGGTGTTTTCTGTTTCGTCCGAGAAGGTATCCTTCAAGAGAAAGGGTCTACAAAAAAAACAACAAACACAAGACAGCCATCGGACTGATAACGGCCAGCTGGTGCACGGCCCGCTCGCAGTGCTTCGCATTGCTTCGCAACAACGACCGAGCACTGCGAAGCACGTCCCACACGGTCCGAGAATCGCGATGGACGTCGCATGTTAGGCCATGGAGGACATCCAAAAGAAGCTTCCAGCAACTTGGATCTGCGCTGTGGCACCTTCCAGGGTCAGATGAACTAGTCTGTGTGGCTGGCTGATTGACTGGTGGGATCCATTATGTTTCTTTTCAATGGGAAAGCAAACAACTCCCCAAAACCTTTGGGACTCAGTACGAGGCTTTGACCTCAAGAATCCTTTCTCCAAGTCAGGGGCGGTCTCAGGCGGAGCATCAGGCGGTCGCAGGCCGCTGGACCTATAGTATTATTGTTTAGTCGGCGGTGCTGCACCAAGTGATACGTTTGTTTGCCACATGTTAGGACGTTCGATTTCAGTTAATTGTTCACCCTTGAAGAGCCTGCATGAACCTTCATCCCCTAAAAAAAAATTACCGTTCAATTTTTGTTTCCGCCGACCAAGGGGCAGGGGAAGGGGATGATCCATGCTGAGGACTTGCTTTTCACCGCACCTTTGGACCGGGATTCCAAGTCCAACAATTCAGGGACAGGAGATCTACTCATCGCTCCAAAAACATAGACATCCCCAGGTGTTTGGTCTGTTTTGCGTTGTTTTCTTCCCCCCCTATTTACATATACTGTAAAGCCATACCCAAATGATAGAATATGATTTCGCCCCTTTCCACATGTTTCTATGTGGTTTCTCTCTAGCCAATTGGTAGTCTCACCAGGGGCACCTTCAAGTCGGAAACCATGAGAGTTGGAACATGGCACTTGTGATGTTTCAGCATATTTCAAGAAGCCCTGTGCGAACTGTGCAGACAACCTAGGACCACCAGGTCGAGTCCACCAGGTCGACACATATCGCTTGTTTGACATCAGATCGCTGGTGCATCGCTGCATCCGAGGGCAGCTTCTCACGCGCCAAGATGAGAGTCAGGAGAGCACACGTCGCGTAGAAGTGACTCCAGTGGTTCCAGTAGCAGTGATGTTAGTACTTCAAACAGTTTGGAGACACACTCAAACAGGGTGTTGACTGAGCCCATCTTTGCTTTGCTGGCAGGATGACTTTCCCTGACCACCTTCTGGAGAGCATCAACAAATATATTTTGGAAGATTGCTCGGCTACGCTCCTTGCTGTGCTCGTTCGGGTCCAGAAGCACGAACCAACGGAGGCAGTTAGCAGCCCCAAAGCGGTTTTTCGTTTTCGTCCGTTTCAGTTGGCGGTGTTGGGCATTTGAGTCCACATATTCTAAACATCAAGCGCACTTCATGTTCAAACCCTCAGACCTTCGAGTAAATGGGCGGTGAGACGCCACAAAGCATGTCATGATGGCCCAAAAGTAGATTCAAACCATATCCAATCATATCCATCATATCCTGTCAAGCATTTCAGTCTAAGAGTCCATTGGTTGTCCGATCATTGTGTCCATAGGTGGACCGGTCAATACATTGTTGAGACCTAGGCAGACAGGACATCATGATATCAGACTATGATCAATCCTTATACATGATATTGTATTATGATATATTTTATCATTATATCAGACAGGACATCATTAGACTATATCATCATTATATCAGAACATTATCAGGACACATCATTCTATGGAAAATATGCCTTCCCGCACCGGACTGCGCCGAGGATCGAGAAGTCTGAAGTGTCGCATGGCCAAAGCGGGTCGACCGATGAGGGACGAGGTCGTGTTCTTGGGGCTCGTGAGGTCGTTGCAAGACGGAATGCCTCAGAGAAAACACGTGCAGCCAGAGGACGCTACTAGGGGGCATCGCTACTAGGAGCAGGACGCTACTAGGGGCTCCTGGCCTTGCTACTAGGAGCGAGAAGCTACTAGGGGCTCGTGGCATATGAATTGCATCAGATGACATTAACACCTGCATCATTTTACAAGGTTATTAGTTACTAGTAGTAGTGGACTTGTTCCAAGAGAGTTCCATCAACACCAAATAGTTTCTTCGGGGGAGAGGTTCAACCTTTTGACAGTAATCGTAGTCATTGAGTCTTGAAGGCTTATTAAAGCTCGACCCATTGGCGGATTTATCACATCAACCTTAGGATACGTTAAGATATGTTAAGCCAGGGTCTCAGGAAAAAAGTAGTCACAACTCACAAGCGAGGTTTTGCTTCAAATGGGTGTTTGTGTAAATACGGAGATTTCAAGGGCCCCCAAATCCCGTGGGTTTCCGTCTATTTGGCCTTCTTCCAGAGGGTCGAACTTAGAGGTGTCACTATTTTAATACACACCCAAATAGTCAGAGTAGCTGGATGTACCAGTCAGTGTAGCCGGGTGCATTTGCAAGATGTCATTTTGTGGTTCTGGATTGAACTATCTAGGTTTGGCGTGGTCGGTCAGGTTCACCACATGCTTGCATGTTGAGTGAATCCAGGAAGCACAGTGCACAGGTCATGGTTTCTTTTGCGGCGCGTTTGTTTGTGTTTGTTTTGTCACGTGCTTTAAACTTTCAATGCGCCAAATGCCCGTCAGACTAAGGGCCACTACTGAACTTACGTCAGCGCAGGCAGAGCATGAGAATGACTCTGGGCACTCAAACTGTTTTACTGATACTCAATATTACTCAATGGAGTGTGGACTCCAAGAATCCCCAACGTTGTGGCCACTGAAGAACTACCGCTACTGTTCCCCTCTCTGATTTATCCAGATTTATTGCTGATGTATATAGTTCTTGATTTGTGCCAGGGGTTTTGGCTAAGGTCTGATTCGGCATTACATAATTAATTATTAAATTCATATGTATCTATATATAAATAATCTGGACTGCTAGTTTTGGCCGTGTTATAGAAATTGACCTCTGCGTGCGTGCCTCATATGCCACCAGACAACTTGACATTTTAAGAGAAGGGCTAAGCTAACTGGGAAATCGTTTGTTCATTCTCTCTTTGTATTCTATCATAGTGAGTGTCTTCAAGCTCCGCCTAGAAGGAATCCTCGTAGTTATGCTTTGTTCCAACTGATTCTGAGGCGTATGTTCACCAATTTTCCTGATTTGAGTCAGAAAAGCAATTGATTTATGGGAATCATTTGGGGTCTTGCTTCTATTGCTCTAAGGACACGTCTGTGGCAAATGCTCCAAAGCAGCTTCCTGGCGAGATGATTCCCTCATCCCAACTGCCGGAGCTTGAAAAGCCCAAGACCCATTATGAAGTTACGATTTTTAGACCAGATCTAAGTCAGACAGGCTGCACTGCCGCACGTCCTGCTGTAATTAAGATCAGCGGAATGGCCTTATTTGAAATCCAGTGGTCCGGAGATATCCATGGATCCTTACTGATCACAAACACCAACTAGCACTGGTAGGAACGCACCAGAAAGGAGATGCTTCTGTTTTCATTCCAAGAGGGCGATCGTTGCCTCAGATTGCCTCAGGACATTCAGAAGTCTCACCTTCATTTGCAATCCTGGTCATTACAGAGATTTGGATAGACTCGCAACGAAGGCTTTTTTGGGTGTTCCGATGGCAGGGGTGGTGGTAGTAGAGCGTTTGGGAACATGTGCGTCACCGTCACGTAATACCATAATATGTTGCTCATGTTTCATAAAGGCAGATTGAGCAGTGCAATCCACTACTTTGAGCGTGGGGAGAAGTTGGGGGAGTCAAAGCTGTTGCCAGACTTGCCGGATGCAGTGTTCATGTTGAGAGACGTGGCCTGTGGCAAAGTTGGAGTACTGTAAGTAACAATCGGCCCAGCCCGCCAGCAAGTGAAACCCATCTACTTTTGGGTTCAAATGTTTGTCATTGTGCCTCCCCATCCATATAAGACAATTTGTGCCTTATGCTCAGATGATTCGAGAAAAGCTGCGGGCTAGAATAGTCCACGCAGCCGTGCATGTTTTCTTTTGTGATCCTTTGCAGATAGTTATTTTGGTTTATGGTATGTTATGTCAAGAACTAGTTTTGCTTCATTCCTTTTGAGGAGCTTTTTCTTCCTTTTCACAGCGCGAGTTTCTTTGTATGTTTTGTAGCTAGCTGTATGTTGTCAAACAAGGTTTGGAGTGTCAACAGTGCTAAATTCTTTTTTTGGAGTCAGGTGGACAAGCTTGGGAGCACTGGGCCGGCACTGGGGCACCTCTTTTTTGCACAACATGGCCATTCTCAACACCCGAACAAAAAACCGATCGAATGACCCGCTGGGTGGTCGCAGGTGCACGCGGGCGAGAGCGTGTCTTTGCACATGGTGACTCAAAACGCCGCTCGAACGTGGAGGGAAATGGATGCAGTTGCTGTGGGGGTTACAAGATGATAGACGTCTGAAAAATGGAAAGCCTTTGAATCTGAGATGTTTTTTTGTTTTAGGTGATATATAGCTGCACGATGCTGCACTGTTGGAAAGCGAACTTGTTGGAGACTTCGAGCAACATGTGTCGAGGGTAGACATCAAAAGAACACGGAGAGGAATTCACCAGGTTCATCCTCCCCAAGGGGCCTCAAGGGGCAAAAAAGACCAGTCCTTCCACTAGGCACTGTACATTTGAGGAGCCTGTTTTGAGTTTGCTTAACAGGGGCCTAGCTGTTTCCGTCCCGCCTTGGCAACTCCTGTGTGCGAATACGAGCAAACATCCCATCACGTGATAATCCCAAATAGGCAGGGAAAGAGAGAGAGAGAGAGAGAGAGAGAAAACAAAAAAACAAAAGACATAGAGAAAGAAAGAACGAAGGAGTGCAGAGTGATGAGAGAATACATGAGTTCTCTCAAGGGTTTTCTTTAATCCACAGCGACATTTTGAGTTATTCAGAGCCACCAAGGTCGTTGGTGCCACACAGCCTGCTGGAGGCCAAGTGACCAGCCGAGCGCATTCGTTTCACTTGGTTTTCTTTTGAGTTGCTGAGCTTAGGTATTGGATCTGCCTAGTTGGTTGAACAACTGCATCCAATACATATATAATATATTATAATATATATATATATACATACACATACTACCGGGAAATGAGTTGGGACTTGTCGAGGAGATAGGTCACAAATAAGGTACACAAGGCTTGGGCAGATGAGATGCTGATGCCACAACAATTGAAACCCATCTCATTTGCTATACCGTAGGCGTACCGTAGGCGTAGGCGTCAATGACAGCTTTCAGCCGATGAGATAGGACTATGTGCTGAATCTCAATCAAAACTAAGCTTTTTATCGAGAGCTGCGGAGATAGTCATTGGCTGCGGAGATGTCTACCTAGAGCTCCCCACTTATCTAGCGTGTCCAGGTTGTACCGATAAGATTTGACACTTTGGCTGGGACCTTCGGAGGCCCGCGCGCTGTCATATGCTGCCATCAGCAATGCTCTTTCAGCACATGAGTTAGGTCCTTATGGCCAATTGTATCTTCTCCTGTCGTCTCCGCCAAAAGTAGGCTTTCGGCAGATGAGATAGTCCAACGGATTTCTGGGGTGTACAAGTATGTTCGAATACTCCCAACTCATTTGGGAAGCTCTCTCTCTATATATAACTATATATACACATATCATATATAGATATAACTATATATATATATCATCAACTTGATGTGTAAAAGCTTAAGTTATATGTAGTGGTTCTTGCCAATCATCTGATCAAACGTCTCCCGCACCGCTCTTGAGCGAACAGAAGACGGTCGGTGTCGTGCTTACTCAACGACTCCGGAGGAGGGTGGACTCATGAGATGAACGGTGTACTGTTGAGGAGTTCAGCTGTTCGGTGAAACTAGAACTACATAGAGCAACATCAAGAGCTTACTTCGGCAATACCCACCCTGAAGGGCTTGACCAATCCACATTTAAGTTTAATCCCAGGCAGCTATCACCTGCCTTGCCTATACTTCCCAATGGCCCCCAATTGTTACTACTCGTAGTAGCGATGGCCTCCACCCTAGTAGCGATGGCCTCCAACCTAATAGTGTCCTTGCTACTAGTAGCTAATTATGCATGGCCTTTGAAATGGGCAATTCTGAGCATCAATTGCCGATCTGCGACACTCTCATGGGCGCCACCACCAGCGCTGGGGCGCTACCCGACGATGCTTGCGAAGCTGTGCTACACAAATTCATCGCAGAGGATCTTGAGAGAGCGGAGCGGCTCTTGCGCAGGGCTGATGAGCAGCTTGGCATGTGTTTGATGGCCGTCTGTTGCAAGTGATTTGGAATCTGGAATGGTTTGGAAGACCATTCACCGATGTTTAAATTCATAGTGATTTCACCGCATCTTTTGTTCTGTGAGGTTGGTCAAGGAGGCACCGTCTTCGGTCCATTTTTGGACCTGCCGTGGCCTCAATGGAGCAACTCTCCGGGTCCGCATGCATGAGACGGCCACAGCGGCTTGGTCATGCACTGCAGACTCTGGCGGCGATTCACCGGTCGGGGGTGAAGAAAACCAGCGCGAACGGGATGTCCACAGTGCAGTATGTGCAGGTGAACTTGTTTGGTTGAAAGGACCAGTAATCTGAAGTACTGTACCTGACGTTTCGAAGTCTCAAAATAGCAAGGCAAAGTGTGTACACATCCCTTCTTTGGTGGGCAATCCACAATGATCCATCCACTTCAGGTTTTCTGGACAGACCAGATGTGGAGTGCTAAAATGTGCTAAATCTTTCAGTCCAACAACATCTTGAGTCTTGAGCCGCTAATTTCAGCGGAACTTGCTTTTGGGGTGTCTCAGAGGTTTGGCAGGAGCTTGTGAGATTCTTTTAGTGATTCAGTGAACCGGTGAATTAGCTCCTGAGTCTTGAACCATATTGAACCTCTTTGTCCACAACATTCAACTCAGCAGGGTCTCACAAGTAGTAGGGGCTTGTAAGAGCAAGTCTTGCATACAGCAAGATCACTCGCACATTTGCCAAAATGACAGAGTCTATCAGACGACATGAGCCTAAGCGAATGCTATACAAAAGAGCATTGTATACCCCTTGACAGAAGTCAAATATACATCTCGCGTAAAGGCTCCCGGGAGATGCTTAAAGGGTACCCTTTAGTACTCTATCACGCAAACAAATGTACCATCCGCACAACGCCGTTCCGGAGTGTGCAGGAATGCAGTAATTAAATGCAAGAATTCCGAGTAGCGGACGAGCAGCCCTTGTCAGCACAAAGCAAAGACCGGCAACACTCATCATGCTCGGTTTGGGATCCGTCGGAGTTCACCTAGACATGAGCGCGGCAACGTAGAGTCATCAAGTCTGTACAGTCAAAATTGAGAGGTCAAAGCTATACAAGACCAAGGAAAAAGAAAAGAAAGTAGTGAGGGAAATTCGACATCATGTCAGCACAAAGTGTGCATCAAAGTGCGCTCAGTAAAGCAGAAGAGTCCCAAGGAGTTTCCAACAAGTGGATAGTGAGGTCTGCGCATCAAACGCGGTGCGTGCATCGTCTCACCACCCTCCACGACGTCACCCCCGCCATGCACGCTGTCGTGGAAGGTATAGGTGGCGGGGACTCAGCAGGGTCTCACAAGGTGGGCGACCTCGCCAAGATCATCGCAACCAGAACTGGCCCGAAAACTGGTGGAGCACTTGTTCTCTTTGCTGACGGTAAACTCCTGGAGGACTCCTGCAAGCCTTTGCATAAAGAAGTGCCCGGCCGGGAGATCTCATACATTCTTCGACAGGTGTGTGCACTGGAGGCGGCGATGGGGTTCCGAAGGGCCCTCGCGCAGGGGTCTCACAACACACATCCGACAGTGACAATCGACTGTTTGACCTTCGGCGTGGATTTCAATCAGAGTTTGGAAGGTGTCACTCTGCCAAGCAGCCTGCAGACTTTGACCTTCGGCTGGAACTTCAACCAGAGCTTGGAAGGTGTCACCTTTCCAAGCAGCCTGCAAACTTTGACCTTCGGCGAGAAATTCAACCAGAGCTTGGAAGGTGTTACCTTGCCAAGCAGCCTGCAGACTTTGACCTTCGGCGTAGATTTCAATCAAAGCTTGGAAGGTGTCACCTTGCCAAGCAGCCTGCAGACTTTGACCTT